TCCCTTGGCCAAGGCCACTAGCCTCCTGGCTAGCCCCCCATTGCACTGCCGACTCTGCGGGGCAGCATTGCTGCCGTGGCTCTGGGACTTGTGGGCAGTTGTGCGCACTGGGTCTCTGGGACCTGCCAGGCAGCCATGCCCAACAGCTCCCAACCCAGCGGGGCAGCCCCACTGCCACATCAGCTCACTGCAGGCAGCCCATTGCCATGTTGGCCCTGCAGGGATCCTTGCTGCTGGCCCTCCACTGGCACTCTCTGATCCTGCAGCGTCTGTTCTGGACAATGGATGTTGCTGAACCAGAGAATCCCAGTTAAGAGAGTTTCAACCTGTAATAGAAATGAACTAAGGGCTGTCACAATTGTGCAGTTTTATTTTGAAGGGCCTCTGACAAGATCTTTTGTAAAAGGGAACTAAAGAAACTAAGTGGTCATGGATATAAGCTACTATCATGTCTCAAAAAATGTCTAAGAGAGATAGGGGAGTAAGAACAGATGGTCAATTTTGTCATGTCATAAGGTTACCGGCAGGTTTCTTAAGGTTCCTTTGTGACTAGTACTCTTTTATATATTTGTTACTAGCCAAAGGGCTGAGCAGAGAAGTAGCAAAATTGAGACATGACACAAAGTATTTACTTTCTTCAAGTCTAGAAAGGGCTGTGAGGAATTTGAGAACGGCCTAAGAAAGTTAGGCGAATAGGCAAAATGATGGCATATGAATTCGCAGAGAAAAAGCTTGGTGACTCAAAGAGGCTCTAAATTAACTAATTCTGAAAAGCTCTGGTCACCCTCCAGCCCCTCAAATTCAAAATGCATAAGGAAGGAGTTAGAGATTAATATGGAATAAGATAATATAATGCTATTATATAAATCAGTGAACCTCTCATCTGCAATGCTGTGCTCAAGACTGGTAACACAATCACAATGAAATTACTTTAGAAATGGAGGGACTTGAGATACAAGCCTTAAGAATTATTAGGAACATGGGAAAAAATTCTGATAAGAAAAAAAGATTGAAAAGAATGGGACTGTTTACTAATAGTGAGGAGATAAATAAGAGGGAACTTGACAAACGAATGCAAATAATACAAGTTCTAGATGAAAGTGGATCTAGAAACTCTGTTCTCATCTGATAAGAATAAGAGGACAATGAATTTACGTATTCGAGATTTATAGAAGGAATTACCTACTCACAAACTAATCATTAGAATTTAGAACTCACTGCCACATAATATTACTGAAACCAGGCATTAGCAAGCTTCAAAGAAGGATGAGATATTTATATGCATAAAAAGACTATTCACAGTTATAAGAAACTGAAAAAAATTAGAAAGGACATAAAATATCAAACTTCAAGATGTAAAATTGGCTTATAACTATTACAGAGTAGGAGGGAGCAGATTATTCCAAAGCTGTCTCCTGCAGAGTTTCTTGAGTATTCCTCTACAGCATTTAGTACTAACTGCTGTCAGAGATAGGATATTGGGCTATTTGATCCAGCAATTCTTGTGTTCCCATGAGAGAGAAAAAAAAAGTTGGAGCAGCTTTGACATTGCTTGCTGGCTGCTCTGCCAATGGCTCTCTTCACAGCTAGTAAAGAGGTTCCTCTCTCATTTTACTTCCGGAAGTGACAGGGCACACAATGAATTAACAATCTCAAGCCTATTCCTAGTGGACAGACATCCACATAATAAAATCATGACCATAGTGGGATTCTGAAACAGAGACTAAAGACATAAAGGACTCTGAACTACACTATCAAACTGAACAAATTGAATGCTGCAAAAACAATGTGACTCTTCCTTCTTATACTCAACTGCTACGTAATTGCAATGTTTCTTCTCTTTTTTATTCATGAATATCTGTATAAACAGATTTTTGTTTACATGCATATTTAGGAAATGGCTCTTCTTTGTGGGTATGTCTACACAGCAAAGTTATTTTGAAATAATAGCCCTTATTTTGAAATAACTTTCCTAGCATCTATACAGCCAAACCACTATTTCGAAATAAATTTGAAATAGCGGAGTGCTTATTTCAAATTTGGTAAACCTCATTCTCCGAGGAATAATGCCAAATTCGAAATAGCTATTTCAAAATAAGTGCTGTGTAGACACTTATTTTGAAATAGGGGGCCTCCAGCCTTGCCAGGGTGTCCTGGTGGCCACTCCGGCCTCAACCAAGAATACTTCTCTCTTTCCCCTCCTCCCCGGAGCCCTTAACAGGGGTAGACTCTCGCCACAGTGCCTGTGCCAGCTCCAAGTCTGCCAGCCCAGAGCCAGCAGTCAATGCCTCTGACCCAGTGGCCCCAAAACATGAGCCAGCAAGCCACTGGCTGCCAGCCCTCCACCGCTCCCCAGGAGCAGTCTGCCAGCTCCCAGGAGCCTGCCAGGGCCCAGAGAAGGTGGGTGCCTTCCTGGTCCAGGGTGGCAATCATAGACATTATTCAGGTTTGGGGGGGATGCCCCCAATGTCCATGATCTCCACACTAGATGGAGAAACGCGGCCGTCTATGCCAGGATAGCTGCCAGCCTGGCTACCAAAGGCCACATGCGAACCTAGGAGCAGGTTTGCATGACAATCAAGTTGGACGGGCGAGACCCTCACCCCTGAGCTTCTCCTCCCCCTTCTTCCCCTTGCTTCCCCCTTCTAGCTCCCTCCTCCCAGGTTTCCCCCTCCCCTCTCCTACCCTCTCTTCTCCCCTCTCTCACCTGAGTTTCATTCCCTCACCCAGTTTTGTTAAATAGAGTTTGTGTTCATGAAAATATGTGTATTTTATTTGACATCAGGAAGGGGGGTTAGGGAGGAGTAAGTGGAAGGACGTGAGGGAGGAATGAGGCACAAGCCCCCAGTGGGGCAGGCCAGGGAGGCTCTTAGTGCTCCTCAGGGTGGAAGTTCTCCCACAGGGCCTCCTGGATACTGACAGCCCCCTGATGGACCTCCCGGATGGCAGCCTGCAGAAAGTGCAGCCAGGCTCACAGCAACGCATCCACAAGAAGCACCAGAGTGCCCAGGGGCAGCTCCGGCTCCATGTTGCCGAGTGCTGTAGTGTCCCAAGTGAGGGCAACCACAGCACGCAGAGACAAAATGCTTTGCTGTCCCTCATCGAGGTAGACAGGCAAGCAGGGAAACCCGAGAACTGGCTGTCCGGGGGGGTCCCTTTAAGCACAGACTTCAGATAGCCTTCAGGCAGCAGCCTCACACAGTAAGTCCTGACCTGGTGCCCTGCTGGAACTGGTTTCGGCCAGCCTTAAATGCTATTCAGAGTCCACTCAATGTGGATGCGCTATTTCAAAATAGCAAAATGTATTTCAAATGCATTGTGTGTGTAGACGCATTATTTCGAAATAAGCTATTTCAAAATAACTATTTTGAAATAAGATATTTCGAAATAACACTGTAGTGTACACATACCCTGTGTGCCTTCGTGTTTATATGCAAATTAGCATGTTAGTTCTGTGGGCAATAATATTCACCATCGAAAACTCTTTGGAGCTGGGACTGTATTTCTGTGTCTGTATATAGCTAGGTGCAATTTGCTATTTGTTATTGATAATTTTATACTGTACTAATTTAAAAATGTATAATCTAATCAGAAAATAAATTTGACAGCATGTTACCTGAGCAACCAGTCAGAAACTATCAAAAGGAATAGCATATAGCTGAAGTGAACAGTTCACAACCTGAAGACTTAACTTTGATACATTTTAAAGATTCAAACAAACTAGTTGTGAATACAGGCAGTCCCCAGGTTACGTACAAGATAGGGGCTGTAGGTTTGTTCTTAAGTTGAATTTGTATGTAAGTCGGAACTGGTACATATTGTAGGGGAAACTCTAGCCAAACATTTCTCCAGAGCTCAGTTTTATTCTCCCACACCTCACTTCCCTCAGTCCTTTATTCTCAAGCTGAGGTGTCTGCTGAGAAAAGCCGCTTCACGTCTCCCTGGTCTGCTGGGGGGAAGCAGCTAGTGCGGGGTTGCCTCACCCCGTTTGTAAGTAGGGTTCCGATGTAAGTCGGATCCATGTAACCTGGGGACTGCCTGTACGTCTATAGAAAGCACGTTTGTTCAGAACAGTTCATGAACACAGAAATGGTGAAATTACAGCCGCTCCCTGACTTATGACCATCCGCACTTATGACCAAAGCGGTCATGAATGCGGATCCGAGTTACGAACGGCGATCCACGCTTACGAACAGCGCAGTCGCCATGTAAGTCTATGGGATCCGAGTTACGAACAGTTCGAGTTATAGACCAAGTGTTGGTCCGTAACTCATTCGTAACTCGGAGAGCGGCTGTACTCAGATAATGTATTGACTTTAACATGTCTAACTCTACCCTCCACAAATTGATTGAAACACACAGTTGGATAGTGCAGGCTAATTTACACTGTCTATATTATATTTGTTCTGTTGATACAGGACTGTTGGTTCAGCACCTCTCTCTCATAAGTACAAAAGGCATACAAAGGATTTTAAAAAGGAATGCCTTTCCTCTCCCTTCCCCAATTAAGTTCCAACTATCTATTTCTAGATCTCTACTCAAGGAGGAGGACTGCATTCACCAAAATCAGACCCTTAAAATTTGTCTCTTGCTATTTGAAACTCCAACCCCACAAAAGATTCTAGTATACACAAAGCATTTGCTTCTTGACAAAATTCTAGAAGAGTGAAGTCATATATTCTATCTGCTGAATTATCATAATCTATTTGCACACAATGGCAAACAACAAAACTCATTAAAATCATTTACACTTCATAAACAGCACAAGATAGTAGGCTAGATAAATTCTACATTTAACTTTATCAAAGAAATTATCAAACAAAGGCATAAAAATTGATGGCTTTTAGAATAGATTTTTCTGGGGAGATGTGAAATGTTAACATAGCCATAAATGCTTATAGGCAAGATGTAATGTAGTGGAAGATTTTACAGATTTAATGCAATTGCTTTTAATAGAAATAAAGATTTGATAACTATCACCCCTCTAAATAAATACCTACCATACTCATTATCATAGAAAATAATGAACTTCTGCCAGGCATATTCCGTGACCACCCTCAATATAACATCATTTAGATAGACCGGTGGGCGGACAGACAGTGTGTAGTCATCGTTTCGATTGCTCCTGGTGAGCCCACAGCCACTCCTTGGAGTCCCAGCTGTTGAACGCTGGATGAAGAGGTGAGGAATGTGCATGGCATCTGCCAAGGACTGCAGGGATCCCGCCGACGTACAGCCAATGGAGCTGACAAGGGCCAGGATGCCTTGGTTCATAAGGTCACAGGCTGTAAGAAAACACAATGATATTCAAGATGACAAGGGCAGTTCAGTGCTCATAGCTTATTTTTCTGCTAAAACAAATACTGGGAACTGACATGCAAGAGCTTCAGAGAAGTGAAAAGAAGCTAGTGTTTTGTAAATTCAATAATCTTGTCTACTATAAAGCAGTGCATTTTAAAATCTACATTGTTCTAGAAAACTCTTGTGGCTTGTCTATTCATTTCAAAGTGCCTTACCTATTATCACTACCAAGAGCAGTAAGACTGTCCTGGAAGGGCAACATGCTAGAACATGAACCAAATCTTTTAGAAGATCCTTACGAACATTATCATCTAAACCCAACTATAGAAATAACTGGACTTTGTAGGGAGACAAATACTTTTCAAAGTCTGGCATGCCAGTTCTGGAAATAAGATATTTGGACTACACATGCAGAACTTGACTGGCTGTCCACTTTTGAAGGCAATTGGACAATCATGCACATAAACTTGTACAGACAGAACCAAAACCCAAATGGCTGTTGGTTATACAAGAAATATACAGCACAACATATATAATTTGTCCATTTTAGTGTTGCAACAGAAAACAAACCACTCTTAGTCTTATAAATAGAATGCTGTTTTCAAAACTTCTGTAAGTTCCTCCCCACTTTGTGCACCTTGTAACTAAATAGCCTAATTAATGAAGACTGGTTTACAGTAGAAATTCTGAATATTACACTAATAACATCCATATGAATACCAAATGTACTTATCATACATAAATAATTATTTGGTCTGTAATTTTGACACATTATCTGTGAAATAAAGCAGAGAGTGAAGTATTTATTTTTGGCTTTTTAGCAGAGTTGAGAGCCAGAATAAGGAAACAACACAGGCTTGTAATGTAAATTACTGAGAGCAATTTTTTAAATATCAAATTTGAGACTGGCAATACTACATTTGCAGTTACTCTGTATTTATACATGCAAAGTAGGCTTGTGCAGGAAAATATATAGGAGTATTTAAGGTGCACATGTAATACTTCAGCTGGGTGTGCAGATTTTATGCATAGAACCAGTCAGGACACAAATGAAGAATCCATATTTGAAAAATTTTGCCTTTATAGTATTATTCTGACAGACAAATTTTGTTATAGAACCTGTTAGAGCAGATTGTTGTCCACTTTGAATAGTGCTATATGCCACATAAAAAGTTATGTTGAAGTCAATGGGATTACTTGTAGTATAAGGGGATGACAATGTTACACTCTGGCCCTTATGCATCTTATCAATATGGCCAAAAGACTGTACAGGAGATCATGCACACAGAAAAGCTTTTTCATATAAAATTAATACATTTACCATGTAATATTTACTCATATTAAAGATTACTTCTAAAAGACTCAAAAAGTCACTGTGTCAAAATAATATATCAACCAAAAAATGACAATGAGGACTGAAGGAAGGGTTATTCCAGATTTGACATGACTAGGTTTATCCATCAGAATTATTTAATTTTTTTAGTTCAGTATCCTAATTCACAGACAGGAAGGTCCTTCTGCAGCAGAAAATGAGTGTTTCTGCTATGCAAGGTGGAGATGGATTTCCAGGGGGCTATCTAATCTGCACATACCCAGAGGCAGTGGGGGCCCTAAAAAGGAGTATTTCTACACACACACACACACACACACACACACACACTCTTCAGCTGCACAGGGCGCCAAGCATTATGTGGCATTATTAAGAATCCAGCAACATACTGCACAGGGTGCCAAGCATTACGTGGCATTATTAAGAATCCAGCAACATATTAAAGTTATTTTAAAAAATAATCATATTAACTATTTGCCTTTTATACTGTTTCTTTACTTTCTGCATGTTATTGATAATAAACCAGCTAATGCTTCTTTATACCCAGCTTCTAATCACTTTTCCAGTCCTCTTTTCATATATTGAGTAAATACTATGATATCTAGAGTGCAAGCCCTGCAGGGAATGCTGTTCCTTGAAATATAATATCCAGTGTCATTCAAAAAATATTCTTTGCAAAAAAACCCAATATCTCTAAACTAAAAGTAAGCAAAAAAACCCAACAACTTTTCAGTGCTGCTAAATTGTGGACCTAAATGGCCTCAACAGCATCCCTTTAAACTAAACATGCTCAGCACCCACTCAGTCTCTCAAGAATGACTTTATGAAACACATCAGGAACAGAGACAATTTTACATAAATCTCCTGGAGGATCCTTCTCATGTCAAATGTCTATATTCTCAGAAATTTCTTATGACCAAAAATCATAAGGACATTCATTATAATACTACAGATTGGGAGGAATTCTCACTGTGCAGTGCGTTACTCAAAACAAAACAAAGTAGAAAGAAAAAAGAAATATGGAATTTTTTCTGTGTTCATTTTCACGGGGCCAAATTCTGATCCTAGCACAAAGTCTGAAAGCATGCAATCTGCTCACTCTAGGTCACTCTATTATGAATGCTCTTGAAGAATCATGATTTCAATAGCCCACAAGGCTCCAGCTTCCCTGGTTATACATACAAGGAGAGTGCGTGTGCGTGTGCATGTAAGCACACACATGTTGAATGGTAATACAGTCAACTTTGCTGGCAAATATGTCTCTGCACCAACACTTGTCCGATGAATTGTGATTAACTGAATATATAGGCATTTAGATATTGGAGAAAGTCTTTTTTTTTTTTTTTTTTTGGAATGTTCATTCACTCTGCCTCAGTTTTCCCACTGACAATTACTTTTTTAGGTAGGGAGCCATCTCTATAATTTATACTCATATAAGCAAAACAAAAATAATTCCTGATGTCAAAATATTATTCACACTCCTTACCCAGGCATAATAACCATTGGCTTCAGTGGGAATTATGCCTCAGTAAGAAGCCCTATATATTCTCTTTTCCTGACAATGAAAGGCTTAATTAAATCTTTTTGCTCTTTTTCCAAATTTTCAATGGTAGTTTATCATTTTCACTAACAGTTGCAGCACAAAAGCATCTGAAAATCCTTTCATCATGCCCACCCAAGCTTGAAAAACTCATCCAGTACAAGCATCTGACGAAGTGGGTTCCAGATCACTAAAACTTGCCACAAAATCTTATGCCCTAATAAATATGTTAGTCTTTAAAGTGCCACAGAACTCATTGTTTCAGCCAGACTTGTGCACTATCTCTAAGTAAAAAGATTACACAAGGACTTTAAAAGTATCTTGCCATTCAAGACTCCTTTAATTTACTGTCACCAACTAAGAGGTTGTATTCTAAAGCTGACATTGATTCGTAACATGATCCATCTACATTCATTTACCATCTATAAAACAAAAACCTCCAAATGTCTTTTACATCTTTCTTCACTCTAGCAGAAATATCAAATTTATATGGATTAGTATAAAATTCTATTAGAAGTGTGACAAAGTAAGCCTTAAGGAATACGGGATTCATAATAATACTTACATATCTAAAGCCTTGCACAGACATTAATTTACCCTCACAAGCATCATACGGTGATATGTAACTGCACCTACTGTTCATTTCTCAGTCCCAAATGGAAAGGGGTCAGGTGACCCCCAAAAAGGGCTAAAAGTGTTCAGTAGTGAGATCGGTACCAAAAATTCAGTTCCTAAAGTAGTACATGAGTGAGGAGAATTAAAGGTTGGTCGTCTTGTGGTATAGGAACGACCACACTAAAACAAAATGCCAGAGACTGATTTGGCAGACCACTGAATAGCAACCCAGCTAGGCTCACTACTTCATGGGGCACTCATGGTTCCATCCCACAGTCGCACATCTTTTCAATTACTTTATTCAGCCCCAGCCCCAAAACGTATATTCACACTCAAGTAGGAAGATCACCCTTAATTCATTTCCCCTGTATTTCAGGGACTTTCCCTTTCCAGCTTACCTCTCTCACCTCTTTATAGGATTCACCTGATTGCTTCCAAGCGGGGACTGATCACTGAGCTGAGCAGGCTGGTCCTGGGTCCCCTCACTCATGAATGAACAGGCTACCCCACTACAGGATGATACTAAAAACTGGATGTCCCCCAGCCACCACAGTTAAATGTACTGCAGTGTTTCTTATTCTGTGTTAACAGAATACAGGAGTAAATATCTGTTCCTTATAGTGAGCCACTAAGTACACAGTATTATTTCCACTTTGCCGATTAGGGAATTGAGATACATAGATATTAAGTGACATGTCCAGGGCTACAGAGAGAGTCATTGGCAAACCAATGATATAGGAAGGATAACTGTTTTTTTTCCAGAATAACTACACTTATGTCCACATTGCAATTGCATTCTTTCGACAAAAAGTCGAAAGAACGCAGGAGTTTTTCTGACAGCAGTAAACCTCTTTCTGCGAGGAAGAAAGCTTTTTCCAAAAAAGCTCATTCAGAAAAAAGGCGTGTGTGGACACGAAAGAGGGTTGTTGTTTTTTTTCCGAAAGAAGAGGTGTCCAGGAAAAAGTGCAGGTGCCCTGGTTGCCACTCCATTCACAATAATCACAACCTAAATGTGAGATAGTGTCCAATAAATGTGGATGCTATCTTTTGAAAAAGCTGATTGCTTTTCGAATGCGCTTTTGCTGCGTGGACGCTCTCTTTCAAAAGAATTTTTTCCGGAAGATCTCTTCCTGAAAAGCTTCTTCGGAAAGAAGTCAGCAGTCTAGACATAGCCCCTCAGGATGTTGACAGTGACAGGAAT